CAATCATTCCTTCCTCTTCTTGGCCAAATATTTCCTGCCTAAAATCCTAATTGATGTAGAGGAAGGATATGGCTAGTTGTACCTCTTCCATGAACCACTCATTCGTCACCATTTATCTTAAGGAGAGAGCTCGTGAACGTATGTGGCTCTGCCACCAGCCCAATCCTTTATTAAACTGCAGTTAATCTCCCATCTGCCACTTCCTTACCCACAGCAATCATCTCTTCTGTGTGATTATATCAAAACTTAAGTGTATGCAAAGATTTACTGATCTAAAAGTGGCATGGATGAGGAGCTTTAGTTCTGAGAGAAGATAGGATTGATAAATAGTCATCAGCCTTTAAAGTCACTAGAAAATAGTTAAACTATTTAACAGTTGCAGAAAACTAGTGATATGAAGTAGAGTTGTTCGCAGGTAGTGCTCCGTCAAATGGCGTAGTTCTCCCATTTTCATGCCAATTTGAGCGTGCTTTGCCCATAGGTCTCTAAGGTTTTAGAGTAGATTTGTAGCTCGGGTTGTGGAGATTCATCGGAGGCTGCACTGATGATGTTACCCAGCAGGGTAATGAAACGTCTGCGGAAAAACTACAAACCAGCTCGGCGAGCCAACTAACCATAAAACTAGTGATATGATAAATGATTAGTAATCTTGACATCTTAAATTCAAATCTCACACTGGAAAGTTTTAAAACTTAAGTCACCAATTTGTCATTTCTGAGTTAGCATGAGAATTTTAGACCCAGAAGTGGGCTATCAAAAAATTCACACTGCTGTTGTTCATTGAACAGTGCTTTTTGTGCCTATCTATTTGAACCTAATCAGGTTCAGAAAGCAAAATAGGCAGGAAGAGCAAGATGGGATTAAGAGAGGTGGATAAGAGACGTAAACAACACCCCAACGAATCATTTTAATTTAATAAAAAGAAACTATAATTTAATTAAGGTTATGATTGGCCTTATTCTGCTCGAACAATTTGTCATCTTCTCACTGAACTCCCCACTGCCCAATGCATTTGCCCACCCCTCCCCCTCCCCCTCCCCCTCCTTCTCAGTCTCCCTCCCAACATTCAATCCTCCTCTCCACCCTTTTCTCCCAACTTCCCCACCCCATTCCCCTGTCCCCTTCTTCCACCAGACACATTCCCCCAGCCCCTCCTTGATCCCACCCAAGCATATCCTCCTTTCCCCCAACCCTTCCTCTCCC